GGCATGTGTGTGGCCAATGTACTGGGGCAAAACTGGAACCTTCCCTGCGGATCAGCCTTGGAGAATGTCCCCTTTCACTGCTGCACCGCTGTCCAGCTGCTGAAATACATGTATTTTTGATTGCCCCTCACACCTTGCACAAGTCAAGGAACAAAACAGCTACACAGTTAGCAGTTACTGGCTAGCAGCCATTCTGAATCTCCATCTCCCCAAAGAGAGAGCCTGAGCTTGGGAGAGGGAGCAAAGATTTGATAGACACTCAGTGTAGGCCATGCACACATCATGTGTGTTCTATGTACTCAGCCTTGGCCAAGTGTTATGATAAATAGGCTGTCAGATTAAGGTAGCACAGCTATATTACAGAAGATGTCATAACTTGGTATTAATGCCCTGAGACACTTTTTTATTTTAGGTTTTTACCATAGGGCAATGCACTTGCCAGAGAGAGAGAGAGAAAAAAAAGTGAGAAATTGCCCCTCAGGGTGTTTTCATACCCCGTGAAGAACTGTCTACCAACCTTCCAGGTCGGTTGTTCTGCTGGGGTCTCCTCAAGTCTCCAGCACTTCCCCCCCAGGAGGGATGCCACACACAATCCTTTCTCCCCCATTCTCCTCTTAGGCTTTTGGCCATGCACACACATACCCACCCAGTGTGATTTTTCAAGCCACCAGGTCTGGGACTTGAACTGTGGCTGGCCATGTGGGAAATCAGTGCCCCAACCACCATGCCACCTGCTGGCCCATGTTAGACCTTCTTAAAAGTCTGAATTAAGATATTTCTTTTCCCTGAAAATATCGTCCTCGTCCCTCTTTCTGGGAATGAATTTGACAGAAATGAAAATGTTTGCTCCTCTGTCCTGAATAACAGAAGCAGAATCAGTATCAGATGTGCGGTCGCAGCCCCTCTGGTAGTCCGGATCACTGGCAAGTCTGTGCTCCCTCCCTCGATCCTGTGTCCTGGTATTCAGCTTCCCCCTGACCTCGCTGTATGTATACGTACGGCAAGTCACTGCAGGCACTCCAAATCCTTTGTGCAACAGGCAGGGAGTAAACCGAACACGGATAATAGACTGACTATTTCAGACTCCCCTTGGGAAGAGGCTTAACGGGCCTCACATGCTTTTTGCATATTCACTCATCAGAGGAACTACTTCAGCCCGATGTGAATTTTACTTAAAGATCTTCCCAGCTTATCATCACTGCATGATCACACACACACGGTAAAATACACAAATACATTTACACACCAAGGACATACACTCACATGTGCATATATCCACATCCCAACAATCGCTCGCACACAATCACACACAATCGCACACACACACACGCACAGCGAAATGATGTTCTTCGTGAGCAGGCCAGCCCATTGTCCCTCCCTCCTCGGTCCCAACATCTGTTTCTTCTGATGAACTTGGCCAAGACTAAATACATGGAACACACATGATAGGACATACGGGTCTGTGCAAGAACATGCCACGAGTCTCTCTGACCCCCAGTTTACCCTTTAGGAAATGATGCTGACATATTTAGGCTGCCTTCCTCACAGCCCTGTTCTGAGCGGCAAGGGGGCAATGATGGAAAGCATGTCCGATGCTTGGAGTAAAGCACGAGCCCACAAGCCCAGTACTCATGAGGCCTTACTGTCCATAACTGACAGCCAGTGCAGAGGACACCTCCGTCCTCCCACTCTGGAGCAGGCCTTCCCCTTCGCTGGCTCTATCAGGAGCCAAGAGCTTCTGCAGGGCCAGGAAGCCTGTGCCTTTGTCTGCTCAGAGCCACACCCAGGACATTCTACTCACTTAACTGCTGCAGCAGACCCGAGAAACAGCTTCAGCTGCGTTAATTCCCAGCCGTGCCATTCATAAAAATAAAATTAAAAAAAAAGCCACACATGAAAGAGAGCTTTATAAATATTTCAAATCCTCCTCGGGGGCTGAAGCTAAGTGCTGTGCATTTTCCTCTTCCGTCGCTAGCAGGCTGCTCTCGATCACAGGAAAAGGCAGAGGTGGAGAAAAAAGACTCCCCCATCAGCGGCAGCTCAAGTAGAACGGTTCCTAATGCAGCCCACCTTCCTGCCTCTGTCTATACTGTACCCCTGCCCAGAGTGGCCCTTCTCCCCAGCTCTAATACTGGCTCTGGTCATTGGTAAAGCTGGGATCTTATCCCCACTGCTCAGATGTGAAGGCTGAGGCTCAGTGGGACATGGTGGGCAGCAAGCAGGCAGAGCCCTGGGCATTCAGCTGTCAGCTCTGCCTTCCATTCCTGTACTCTGCCCCCTGAATGGCATCTTAATCTCTTTTCAAGCCCTCAAGTCTCTGCACAGGCCACATGCTGCCATAAAACATCTTGACTGTCTCCACGGCTTGCTCAAACTGCACAGAGAAGCCACACTTGGAAGCAGTCTGGGCTCCCACAAAGCTTGCTTTCCTTCTTTCTCCAACAGCCAACTCCTTGGCCTCTGGGCCTCCACACATCCCATCAAGAACCTTCCAGCAACCACCAGGCCCAGGTCAGGTGCTCCTGCTGGGGTCTCCTCGAGTCCCCAACACTTCCCGTTACAGTACCCACTGCCATTTCAGGCTTGAATGTCTGTCTTTGCCAAGCTCTGGGAGGCCAAGGACAAGCCCACTTCCCAAGCACCCAGCACAGCGCCTTGCATGAACTGAAGACATGTTATAAAGCCATCAAACGACTCCTACAGTGCAGGTGAGGAGCCAGCAGTCGGAAAGCCGTGTGCTCACTCATTCACTTAACGATGTTTAAAGAAAGGAATCTGGTTTCTGAAAAAACATGATCATTACCAAAGGGTCCTCCAAAAGTTGAATAATTGTGAAAAAAAGAAAAAACACAGCATCCAAGACAATCCTCTCTGATCTATTGTTTTATCCATAAAACCCAAATCTTCTAGCTAGAATGGACAATATAGGTCAAAACACAAATGGCTCATCAAGGAACTAAATGTAAGTTTCTGTGTCTCTTCCCCATGCTCATTGGACCCTTGTGGGGCTTCGGGAACTACCCATTCGATTTCCCTTCTCTCACAAGTGGACTCCCTGCCCCTCCAGGAGGACTAACGCAGCACGACCTGCAGTCCTCACGCCCTCAGCACGCGCCTAACACACACTCCAGGCTGTGTCGGGTCAGCTGGGATGCTCACGAGTCCGGTGAGGAGCCTGCTCTGGATACTCAGAGAGGGGCCAGAGTGAGACACCCATCCAGACTGGGGACCCAGGCAATGCTGACATCCATCTGGTGCAAAAGCCCGGGCAGTTCTCTCCACCCAGAGCATCACACCTGGCAGGCAGCACTGAGCAGCCTGGAAACTGCTACAGCAGGGGCAGCATCCCCACGTGCCTGCCTCACAGGGCATCTTGTTCACCTTCCATCCTGGAGACTGAGGTCCTGAGCAAGGCAAGAGACTGACCAAGGGCTCCCAAATACCAAGAGACCCAGGGCTCTGGGCCCCTCCATCACTCACTGCATCACCTCCCCATCTCCCTATCACCTGATTCAGTTCTAGTGGGGGCAGGGTTAAAGGGTCCCAAGGCCAGGACCTGCCCAGACAAATACCCCATGCTTGCTTCCCACATTGCCTCACCCTGGACAACCACATGCCTTTCATGGATTCTGTGCTGACGACAAAGAACTTTACCAACCAGCCGCTTACACCCCTGCACCCTGCATTCCAGAGGGCAGAGCTAAGGATGGATAAGAGGTGGTCTCCACCTCTGGGTTACACCTCTAGATGGGAACTCAGCAAAGCTGGCAAGGGCTGACGCCAGGCCCACAGGAAATTTTAAACCCAGACTCAGTCCAGAGCTGGAGGGCATGGAGGAGTTCAGGGAAGACAGGCCCAGGTTCCCTCCCAAATCATCCTCTCACCTGCACCCACAGCCCATGTTCCTCCTCTGGGAGTTTTACATGGACAATGCCTCCCTCAAAAAATAGCTGCCAAGATTCAAACAAGGTCTGCAATGCACCGGGCAGGTGTGGAAAATGGCAGCTCCCTTCCCAAGCCAGGGGTCCTGAGACTGTTCTGAGCCTTAATAATGCATGAAAGAGCATGCTGGGGTTTCCAGTGCTCAAACTCCAAGGGCGACGGAGGGGGCTCAGGCCCCTGCTTTGCAGCACCTGGCTGCTCCGGCACAGCCACCCAAAGCCCACAGCGAGCCCTGTCGCACCCTCAGGAATGGTCTGACTGTCGCTCCTGCCAGGCAGGGAAGGGAGTGAAGCGGCCAGCTCCAGACCGCCTCCCTTGGCTCCCCATCCCCAACCCCAGACAAAGGTAAAGACCGAGTTCCTTTGTTTTGGGCCACGCCCAGGGGCACTGCCCGACTGGTAACCCCTACTACCATCCCACCCTCCAGTGGCCCAGCTCAGCAGCTTTAACACTCGGTGGGCCGCAGCCGCCGGGTCGCCTATCCGGTTATTTTTAGCTGCGATGAGGAGTGGGAGCGCCGCTTCCATCATGGCGCTTTCTCTAGGTCCAGACTTCCACCCCATCAGTATGGGCGGGGAGTGGGGGGTGGCGGTTGATCTTTTTCCTTCTGATGGGGAAGGAACTCGGCTGCGAGGTGCAACGACCTGACAGTGCGGGGACCTCAAGCGGAAGGCTCAGCTCACCCTCCTCATCCCGGCGCTAGGGCCGGAGGGAGCGGGTTCGGACCCCCGCGCCCCTCCCTCTTTTGTTCGGCTCTGCATCCTCCCAGTCCACACCATCCTCTGGCACATCCCGTGGGGGAGGGGGCCTGCGAGCCCGTGGGGAGAGGGACCCGAGGCGCCAGCCCCGCCCAGCCATGCGGGGCTCCCCCCACCCTTTATTGTCCCCAGAGACTGGGGGGAGGGGGTTGCAATGCCGAGACCGGCCCCGCCCCGCCCGCGGCGACGCAGGAAGGCTCCGGGGCCGCCCCTGCAGTCCCCCCAGCGGATCCAGACCCCAACAGCGACCACCCCCACCCCACAAATACGCCGGCGGGGCGGGGGCGGGGGCCCACTTACGGTGATGTGCGGGATGCTCTTCTTGCCCTGGTAAGACATGGCCCCCTCTGGCGCCCTCGGCCAGGCCGCTGGACCTGCGCGGTTGTCTGACGCTCGCGAGGGCTCGGTCTCTACCCGGCACCCCGCGGGCGCGGTGACAAAGGCGTGGAGGGCTGGAGAGGAGACCGGAGGGTCGGCGCCCACGGCTGCTCACGCGCGGCTGCCCCGGCTGCTCCGTCCGCCGGACGCAGCTCCATACCGTGAAAAGCACAGCACGTACAGGTGGCACGGTCTGTAATTACATTCTCCAATGGGCCACTGCTGAGCTCTGTGATTCGGGCCCATCCCTGTACATGAACTACAGAAAATACAAGTGACTTTTACAGATGCTCTTGGCTGGGCTGCGGTCTCGTTCTCGAGACTGGAAAGGTCTGGTTGTCTGAGTTCTTTTAAAAGCAAGAATTGGCCTTCGGATCGGTAGGCAGGGCTCGCAGGCAGCGCCACAGGTGTGCGGCACCGCGTCTGGGGGCTTCCCCAGCACATCTGCGTGGGGGAGGGAGAATGCGCGGGGCGGGGGGGTGACCCGCAGGAGGTGCTGGGAGCTTTCCTGGCCCTCAGGATTGTGCACAAGCACGTTCACTCCGGCATCTTTCCACGGCCTCAGTTTGTCTATTCCCCATGCCACACCCTAAATGGAGTAAAGACTTCATCTCCAAGCCTTTATTCATGCAGTACCAGCTCCCAGAACAGCCTTCCTCAGACAAAACGGTGTTCTCCCTAAAGCCTCTGCCTGCCACCGACACCAGGCACCAGGCACCACCGCCGCCTGAAGGAGCCTTCCCCAAACAAGTCTAGAGCAAGACCTCACGGAATGCAGCAGGGCACAGGCCTGATCGCTCTGCTCCCTACAGCAGCCAGTCCCACCTCACCACTGTCTGGCATGGGCGCCACCAGGTCACCCTATAGACTTCCTACCAGTCAGTGAGGGCTTGGAGGCCTGGGCCTTTGCCCCAAGGTCTCCACAGGCCTCAGGGCCAGGCTGGGGGACACACACAGGTTGCTCTGTCTCCCAGCTGAGAACAGACAGCAGCTCTAGAGACAGGCACCCATGCTACTCTGGAGGAGGAGAGTGGGTCAGGGCGCTGCTTAACAAGCTCTGTAACACAGAAAGGAGGAGAGGTAAAGGTTAGCCTCAGCAAGCCCCCAAAGCACTGGGTAGGTGCCCCCAGATCACCAGGCAGAATAAAACAACAATCTTTTCTGCTCATTTTCTGTCTGCAAAATCCAAACCCATGGGTCCTATGTATGGATCCAAACTAGGCCTGGTATATCTCTCCAGCAGGCTAGTTAGGAGCCAGAGCTCAGACCCCTCCTGTCAGGAAAACTAGTCCCCTAGGCCAAGCCAGGAGGCCAGAGATGCTTCAGACTTAAAGTGGGGTGGGGGCAGCAGATGGCATGCTGGTTAAGGCCCTGAATCCCACATGGCCAACTTCGTGTTTGGAATCCCAGACCTGGAGGCTTGGAAAACACGCAGGTCATGTGTGCGTGTATTCCCAAAATCTAAAGGAGAGAATGCAGAGAGGATTGCAGAGAGCCATCTCCACTGAGGAGTGATTTCTCACTTTCCCTTTCTTTCCATCTCTCTCCAGTGAGCACACTTCCCCTAATGCAAAACACAAGAGAAAAAAAGATGGAGGCAGGGTTGCAGGGTCATAGAGAGGAAGTGGTTCCGTATTTCAAGAACACTGGGCCATAATTTCTCAATTTACAGATGGGAAGTTGAGGCTTATAGAGGTAAATTATGTATCCGAGGCGCAAAGACACAACTACAGCAGAGCAGCTTCTGGAAGGCAGTTCCTACTCATTCCCGACACTCAGCCCGCTCGGAGCTGGGTCCTAGATTCTTGTCAATGACCAGAACCTGCAGCAGGGAACACTGCCCTTCCCCTGACACCCACACCCCCTCCCAAGACGTTAAGTCCTGGATCACACACACAAGGGCGTTCCCCAGGGTCAGTCTGGAGATTTGGGCAGGAAAGCTTCCGAGAGGCGGACAAGACCACGTGCGTATCAGGGGGAGGAGCACCTTCCCGCCGCTGGCCAAAGAGATTGCTGCTCCCAAGCAGACTTCGCGGGTACAAAGCGCCGCAGCGGCTCAGCCTCTGGCAGAGGTACATGCTGCGCCTGCGCGGCAGAAACCCCTCCTTCCTCCCTGGGAAGAGCCTTGTGGGCGGGGGAAGGGCTGGGGCACCCGCTGCAAAGCGCCGGAGCTGTGAGGCCCACCCCGGAACCCGAGTCCGCTGTAACCTAAGTCCTAGCAGACGCTCGGTCCGCCAAAAGTAAAACGCTCCCTCCGGAGAGACCGCAAGCCACTCTGGCCCACAGTCCCGAATCTCTTGTGCCTTCGGATCCCTTGGCGCGCCAGAGGCACCGCCTTTTGTCCGGTCCCTGAGAAGCCATGGAAAAAGGGTAGAAGGGGCAGGAGGGGGAAAGAAGAGGAAGGGGAGAGAAGAGGGTGAGGTGAAGCGAACAGTGTTATCAAGCGCCAAGAACTGGCTGCGGGGTTGGCCCAGGCAGAGGTCGAGGGTGATGTAGGGGTTGGTGACACTGACCGAACGAAGCTCCAGGAGAGACGCGCCCTCGGACAGCTCCCGGCCGTGCACAAAGCACGCTCGCCCCCAACCCTGCATACCCCACCACGCCTTCAGGAAGACTGGGGAAGGACTTCAACCCTCATTGCAGACATAGAAGCTGAGTCTCAAGAGGGTCAAGAGCCTTGTCTAGAAACCCGGGTTCACCTGTGCTGGCCCCGGATTCTCTTCCCCGGCGCAGGAGCCTCCCGATCGAGCTTGGGAGCCTAAATCTCGCAAGGTCGGAGCGCCAGAGAAGTGGGCAGAGGAGATAAAGAAAGGGTGGGGAAGAATAGAGTGGACTCTTGTATCTCCCTCTCTCCTTCACTCACACACACACACACAAACACACACACACACACACACACACACACACACACACACACACACACACACACACACACACACACACACACACACACACACACACACACACATACACACACACACTCACAACCCTCGCAGTGGACCATCCCCTCTCGGGGCGTCAGATTCAGGACCACGGAGAGCTCCAGAGCTACAGAAAGAGCCTCTAAAAAATGTATTGGGACGGGGTAGGAGGCGATCTCTGTCAGCATTAAGGACAATTCCAGGCCGGCCCAGCTCCTACTCCTCCAGGAAGCCCTCCCGGATTTCTGTCCAGATCAGGCTCTATCCTGTTCTGGACTTACTCTAGGTCTCTCAGAGCATTTTAAGGAGGAAATGGTTAATTAAAATGATAATGACAATCAAATTCAACAATGAACATTTATTGAATGCTCACTACCTATGGACACTAACTAATTCAATTTTCGCAATGAATCTGTAGCTCAGCCTAGCCTGGGAACTTCTGGAGAGTGGACCCAGGTTGCTGAGCTGAGGACTCAGTGCCCACCTGGGGCCTGGCACCAGCAGTACTCAGACATATAATTATGGACCAAGACCACAGCTCGCCAGTTCTCGGTGCTCCCACTTCCGTTTTCCAGGCACTTGGCCCTGACCTCGTCTATCTATTCCAAGTATGTACAGTTCATCCTCCAATCTTCCCCCCAGTTCCTCTGGTGACCCCAGCTCAAGGGAGAAGACTCATAGAGCTCAAGCCCTGGCATTCTCTCTCCCTGATCCCTCCCTCCCCACTTTCAGGAGGGTAATAAACCTCCAAGTCAAGGAGGCTAGAGACTCCAGTTCAAATCCCAGCTCTACCTCCAACTCGCTCTGTGAAGTGGGCACCATGCTCTCCTGCTGGGGGACTCAGGAGTATCCCTTGAAGATGTTGGTGCTTGGGGGAGGGGTTTCCGGTTCTAAGTGCCTTACGATCTAAATTCTTAGCCAAACCCTTCCCCCAGGAAACACTGAGGGAACACTCAGGAAAGGCTCTTGGAAATGGAAGCCCTGTGACCCGAAGGCAACTCGCTGAACCTTTCCAGGAGCCTGGCGCATAGTAGGTGCTCTGTAATGACTAACGGGCGAACGAACAGATGAATGAACGAATACGGAACGGAGCTCCCTTTTTTTCACAAAGCAGAATTAGAGCCCTGGGTTAGATTCATCCCAGGGAGATGAATCGAAAACCCTTCACGTTTTAAGGGCCCATGCGGTGGCTTTAGCCAACTTCCTTCCCCTCTCGGACCTCGTTCTCTCTCTATGCAGAATAGGGCCAACACTGGACCTAAGAGGTGCCTTCAGAGTCCCAGGGACTGTGCTGGCCAACCCCGACCCAGTGGCACAACCTCTCGGAACATCTTGTATGATGAGGTGGGGGAGGGGCCGTTCCATAGCCCTCACAGGCCCGGTGGCAGTGTCCCCAGCACTCAGAAACCGGGCTCTGTCCTCGGGCGACCCACGCCCAGGGTTCCCGACGGCCCTGCCCCCCAAGTCCGGCCCACGCAAGCCCCGGGGGTACCTGGCCATTGTCCCGGCCGAGAGGCAGGTCACGGGGCGCGGGGCAGCGG